CATTATTTGCACTATTATTAGACTCTTCAATGATATCATAGTTTGAATTATTTGATAGGTTTTGTGTCAAACGCAACGATTCAAGTGCTGAACATTTTGGACGATCTGTTGTGTCGATTGAAGTCTATTTAGAGATTGAATTTATCATTAGTTATAAGTTTATTAAAAATTAGGATTAAATATGACTTACTTTGCAAACAATGCATTTGTCATGACTTTGAGAGTCAGAAACTTTCAATTTGTCGCCCGTTTTAATGATTGTGAAAAGAGTTGCCGGAAATTCTGATTGCAATCCATTGAGAAATGTTTCAGTCATTCGTTGAATACTAGACTTGAGTGAAGTATTTGTCGCCAAATTCTTAGTCACAACGAAATTAAGCTTTTGGTAAACGACATAAAACGTGATCTCTTTTGCTGTCAATTCTCTCATTGGTCTCAGAATTGGGGTTTCATTTCTTTCGTCAATAAAAGCCTTTTTAAGTGAATATTACATAAGATTTCACAGAATGAGTGCATTTGTATATCAACTGAAATACCGCTTCCGATTGCAATTGAATGCCTTTCCCGACCGACACATCACTCATCAAATTGATGGCTAAATCAGTTGAATTGTTGGCGAAGAATATCTTATCAAACTTCTCGATGTATGCGATGTCAGCAATGAGTCGATTACTAATGTTTGAAACATAATTAGCATTAAATTTGATTCATTCGGTCGACAATTATCTCATGCAATAAATACCGCATTCTTTTAACAAATTCTTGTTTCGAAGTCAAAGACTTTATGCCTGAAAATGAATCCATGAATGCTTTTCGGCAATCATTGTCTGACTGACTATCGACTGATTGTTGGATTAAATCGGTATAAAAATTGGTGTCATTTTCGCGATAAGACATGTGTAATGAAGACACAAAACACTGCCATTTGGTGTCTAACATAAGATCTCTAATCTCTTTGATTATCGGTTCGTTTCGTTCAATTGGTTCGTCACTTAAAATGCTTTCTATTAATTGAGACAATATTTACCAATTTTATGCAATTAATATGGAATTAATGTAAACAATGGTTACCATCGATATGAACGAGAGAGGGAACAAATCTCAACTTCTTGTGCTGCACTTCTTTTAGGCCATCAGTGATCATACGGACCATCGCTGAGGAGTTAACGCCTCCCGAGAAGGCGATGAGCACTCGCTCTCCGCTATGAATGGCCTTTGATTTGCCAATTGTTGACCGAAACTTATGACTGCAATAGTCTGACAGACAGTCCCCGCAAAACACATCCTTTCGTTGCAGTAAAACGAATCCATTGTTAACCAAACACTTCTTGCATTTAATGGATCCGTTTTGGC